TGTAGGTATGTACGCGGATTTGCGTTAGTATATGTTTTTTTTATTACGAGTACGTGGCCGACATTTTAGGGATTTTGTTTCGGTTATTTAAGGATTGGGAAGCAATGGGGTGTAGAGCTAGGATTGGGCCTCCGCTAATGTCACCTACACTGTGAAACGCAACGCTGGGGTTATTTTACGCCGCCGGTGCTCTGTGAGGCCATGGTTCTGTCATTTGGATATTATCTTCACGGTCTCACAGAAAACCGGTGTGAAACAACCACAGCGTTGTGTTTCGCCGTGTGAGTGAGGTTACCGGGGGCCCACTTTTAGCTATCTAACAGTGAAAGAATTTCGGCAATCCGACCAGCAGTTCCAAGATTACCCCTTCAACCAAACTTACAAACATACAAATTTTACCTCTTTATAATATTAGTATAGATTAAATATAAGTTTAAAAGCTTCAATCCGTCTGACCAAGCGTGGTGAGTATAGCTCAAACCTTCTCCGCAGCAGTGGGCACTTATAAGCTGATGATGTATAAGGTTTGTTTTCAAAAATGAGTTGGTAAATATTGGCCCGCTATAAAGGGCCAAGTGGGGCATGTAAATACATCTTGCGGAACGCACCAGCTTATTTCTGAGAATTCAGGAGAAACCGTCCACAGTGCAAGTTTAAACCATTTTCCTTAAATACCGTGGCGTTTAATTATAGATGATTATATAATTTTAACACATGGTTTATTGAATACCTCTTCGGTCAAGTTGGTATAACCACGATGCTTTTTAAAAAAAACGTTGGCCCATATTAGGACTCTTTCGTATGTCGTGGGTGTGTTTACAAACTTAAAAATTGACATACACAATCTATCTAAACAACAATTTGTGGATCACACAGTTTTTTTTGTATTTTTTTTTTTAGTTAAACGTTGCCCCACTTTAGTATTTACTCCTGTGTTGTGGGTACGTTTACAAACATACAATGTCACATACACATGACACCCAGACCCGGAACAACAATTTGTGGATCACACAAAGTGTTGTTCCGTGCGGGAATAGGACCCGCGGTTCGGTGCACAGCAGCCAGTTGCCCAGCTACTGCGTTGACCGTGCAGTCAGATATTTAAAGTTGATACCAAAGTCAAAGTCGTAATCATTTATTCCAACTAAACCATAAAGGCACTTTTGAAACGTCAAAATAGAAAAGTAGTATGTCAGTCTGTTCGTCAGTGAAGCTAGGTGCTCGTTCCAAATTGTAGATTCGAATGGAGAAGAACGAGCAAGAAACTCCATAAATAATATCTAACCTCATTTTTGACTAGGGAAAGTATTTTAATGATATCTCCGGCTCTAGATTGGAAGAGGGAGTGTCAGACTCTTACTGACTAAAAACCACCCGTTCCTTCTCCTGTCTTTACAACCTTTTGGATTCTAGAGTCAGTATAAGCAGTAATTTTTTTATCAACTCAGAAACTGTAATGCATTTGATACCTATATGGTCTAAAAGATAGCAATTCCTACTTTAATATTATAAATGTGATAGTTTGTGAGAATTTATCGATCTATGTTTGTTATTTTATAATGATATATGATGCCACGGCCTCACAGAAAACCGGCGTGAAACAACCACAGCTTTGTCGTTCGCCGTGTGAATGAGTAATCAGAATGATGCTATGGTGTGTTGAATCAATGTTAAATCTTACGCTAAGCACTCAGATAGTCGATTGACAAGGTATTTCAAATCTCGTGTAATTGTATTATCAAAATTTGATTACCTATATAACTCAGTAGAAACATAAAAACAATTTTATTGTTTTTCTTTTATTATGTCACGTATATACTGGTAATAACAGCTCTGTAGTAAATTCCAGAAAATTATAAAACATGTCGTGTGTATTACGAATTTAAAATTCGAATATCGAACGTTTTTTTTTTATATTGACAATGCTATCGTTTGCAATAGGGATGATGGAAACTAGTCAAATGCAATACTTTTTTTGTGAAATTATTATAATGTTATGAAAACAATTCATTTCTATGTTTTTTTTTGAGATTACTATAAGTAATTGTGCTGACATTATTCTTACCCCGTTTTAGTTTTAAAATAGCCAGAAAAATACTAACAAAAAATTAATTCAAAATTATTTTAATTAATGACAGTATTTGATAGTTATTTGAAGATAATTTCATAAGTTAATTCAATTTGTATTTCATTTTAATATCTCATTTACCTATTAGGAGAATTAGAAAACAGTGATTTATTACAATAAAATAGGTATTAAAACAAACAATAAATAAACAGCCAACATAGTCAACAGAACATAAAGAACACCAAAGAGTTTTTTTTTGTTTTTTTATTAAGTAAGTTATTATTCCTAAGTTTATTGAATCGTGATTATTTTGTCGTCAAAGGTGAAGAAAGAATATTTCACAAAACGTTTGAGACGTAACTTGAAGTAAATAAGTATTTTTACTTGTTAAAAAAACATATCGGATTTTCATTAGAATTGCAGTTAAATATAATAAAATTATTGACCCCATTTTCATTATAAAGTCAATGGGGCAACACGGTGCAAAATATAAGTATCTCAAATAAAATAATAATACTTAAGTAAGTACGCTACTTGACCACAGTATAAATATCATACAGTATTGTAACTCGGCCGCTTGAAAGAAATAAATACCTACAGCCGCGCGGTACGTAAACATGCGTTAGGGCTGCTCGTCTCCAGTATTTTAATTACCTTTGTCTACTTTCTCTTTCCATTTAGTTTTGTGATTGTAAATATCCTTTTTTTATATAAACAAATAAAGTGCTTTAAAAATAAACAAACAAAATTTCTTTGGCCACTAATGCCGAACTGAACAGCTGACTACGAATGTTCTAAAATCACAACCCTCAAACAACAAAATATTACATGAGTCTAACTGTTTTATTGTTGTTATTAAATAATTTCTAGTATTATTCATAAACGCAGATAATAAACAAATATTATTAATAATAAAATACCACACTCTCTACTTTGAATTATACAAACTAACAAAACATACATGAACCGTTTTAATACAAGCGTAAGTAGGTAGGTACCTAACGTATCATGATTCATTCAGAACCAGAACCGCCTATAACTACCTATTTCACTCGTCTCAATAACTTTATTCATATTATTTATAAATTCAAACATCTGTTTTCGTGAGATAACTGGAAATAATGATCCATAAAGACACACATTATGTACCTACCTAGGCTACTCTAGTAAGTAAAATTATTTTATAGTCTTACCTTTCAGAGTTTCCAGGTAATTTAAAAAAACTTAAGTCTGGATGCGGTATTGACGAATTCATGCAACCAAACACAGCACAATATTTCCTATTCGTCATATTAAATAATGTACTCGAGCTGATTTCTAAATAAAAGACAACACACCGTCCGTTTGTCAGTGCGGTACAGCCGCGTCTGTCTGCGTCCCGAGCGCGTCCCGACATCGGGCGCGTAGGTATAGTTCGCGTTTCGGCCGTTTCTATGAAGTTGAAATACTTGTAGATATTATTACCTTGACTTGACGGAGAAAAACAACAAAACATCACACAATACAGAGTATAAAAACTATCGATTTTAACAATAAAAAAATAATTCCATGTTATTACTAACTTTACTTTTATTCAAATACACATATAAATAATACTTAAAATAATTCCTTAACTAATATTTGTAATTTCTATCTAATTAAAAAAAACAATAAACTACCTAAGCTATTTGATGCAAAAAAAGAACAAAAAAATCACACAATCCAAAATATAAAATTTATTATCGATTTTAACACTACGTATGAAAGTATTGAATTTGATTACTAGCTTCTTTTATACCAATTCAGATATTAAATAAATAATAGATAATAGATTAAAAATATATCGGTAACTGATATTAATATTTTCTTATTATATTTTCCACTCATAAAAATATTTTTTTACTAACTAACTCATTAAAATCCTCACACAATCCAGACTATAAAATTCTATCAATAAATAATGGAATTGATTAAAACTTAACTTTTATTAAATTACAGATATATTCAACACTATATTCAACAATATATTCAACACAAGCCAACCCAGCAAACTCCGAACCGCCTCAAATATAACTACTTACCTAGATACCTACATATTATATTGACCATTCAAACCTTCCCTGAACTTTAACGAATATTTTAAAACCAAAATTATCCAAAACGGACCAGCCGTTCTTGAGTTAAAGCGAGTCTAACGAACAGAAATACATTTATAAGAGAAGATTGAAATGAATGAATTTGTTTATAAATAGAGATAATTAATAGAAAGATTATAGATTAAAATTAATTTGTTTAGCATGAATATAACGGCTCCATTATAACATTAGGTAATATTTTATTCCAAGGATTTATGTACAACTTCATCGTCCTAACTCCTAACCATACAAGGTTGTAACAATTTTGTGTGTCAGGCAACTAACTACAGAATATTATGTATAAGTTATTATTTATTTACGAAATAAAGTATTCATTTAAAGCAAATAATTATTTTTGCTGTTTTTTTTCAATTTATTGGATTATTTTGTTGGTCACATTTTTTATCGATGATATTTTATTTGACATGGTTTTTTTTTTTAATTGTGGATTTCGTTTTTTAATTTATAGTTAGAAATTACAAAAAAATTGAATCACATTCGTACGATTTAGTAATTTTTGTTGCGGGTATACAAGGAGTTCAAGAACTTTACGATCTCCGTAATACTTTTATTACGTTGGAAAAATATGTGAGTGTATTTTATTTCTAAACAATAAAAAAACATTGTAGCATGAAGTAAGTAGTAAAGATCTGATTGTGTATATTATTAATTTATTCATTTTATTTTCTTGTCATAGATAATTTTAGCTAGATACTTTTGTTTCGAACGTATGTCCTCAGATTCTTTTATTATTTTGAAACTATTAAACGAAATAAAATCATAAACTAAAAATATCAAAATAAAAAAAAGTGACTGACCTGTAGGTACCTGGATTTTGAAAAACAAAAATCACCAGAAACAACTTAAAAAAAAAACTTCACTGCACACAAAAACTAAAAAGTCCATGCACTAATAATAAAAAAAATCGAACACACATACATTAAAAAAACTAAACAAAACAAACAGAATAGAAAAAAAATAAAATCGTAATTTCCTTCGTTGAGAATTTATTATTCTAAATTCGAATTCGCGCGCGCGCGGCGCGAGCGGCCGTCATGAATTGCGAAATGTTTATAACTTAACCTTACCTCGCCATACAAGCTTGCCTTATAATTTTAATCCGACGAATCACTGCTTCATAGCATAAGCGTTCTTAGTTTTGAGATTATTTAAAGGGCTCAGATTTAATATGGATGTTTTCTTAGTGCATTTCAAAAATCAACTGATCATTATTGATTTATTTAGTAAAAATTATTTATTTTTAACCGACTTAAGAGGTTCTCAATTATAAGAAAATAAGAAAGGATGCAAGCTGATCAACAATTAATAATTGCTGCTTGCCTTATTATTATTTTTATGTGATAGCAAACGAGCCGATGGATTACCTGATGGTAAGCAATCGTCGCTGCCCATGGGACTACCGCAACACCAAAGGTATTACGAGTGCGATGCCGGTCTTTTAGGGATAAGGGTTTCGGATATTTAAGGATTAGGAAGGGGTGGAGAAGGGGCAGAGATTGGGCCTCTGGTAATCTCACCCACACGGCGAAAAACACAACAGAGTGGTTGTTTCACGGCAGTTTTCTGTGAGGCCGTGGTATCACTCCGGTCGATTGGACCCATTCATTAAATAGGTAATCGTAGAAAGTACATATAGGTACCATAATTCTTAATTTATAAATGGTAGCCCATATCAATTTTTTTTTTTATTTATTTGGGTTTATACTTTACTATGATAAATACTGTTGTCCTATGTTAATTTGATTAGTTCTAGTTATATCTTGTCTGTACAAACGCATATAATTTTAAGAATGTTGGTTAGCTCGTAACTGGCTAATGTCCGTGTGAGTGTGTGTTTCGCCGTGTGAGTGAGGTTACCGGAGGCCCAATCCTTCCCCTCCCCCAATCCCTCCTCAATCCCCAAATCTCCAAATCCCTAATCCCTAAAAGGTCGGCAAACGCACTCGTAACTCCTCCGTTGCGGGTGTCCATGGGCGGCGCTGATTGCTTACCATCAGGAAATCCGTCAACTCGTTTCCCGACCTATTACATAAAAAAAAAACTTTGTATACATAAGCTGTGAGCCGACCTTATGACCTTATATATTTATATAAAAAATAATTTTCTTAATATTTCGTTAGTCTCGCTAAAACTAGAGAAAGGCTGGACCGACATGGCTTATTGCGGTCTTGAAATATTCCTGGATATACAGGGAAGGTTTAAAGGGTCAGAAATAAAGGTAAGTTAATTAAAAAAAAAATTGAAGCGGTACGAAGTTTGCCGAGTCAGCTAGTAATAGATAAATAAACTCGATAAAAGTCACATTGGTACTTGCCAGGTTTGGAATAAGGAGCAAACACGACTGCACTTGCGATGGATACTGATTCCATAAAAAAATCGATTTTAATTGTTTAAAATAAAAACCTATTATGTTAGGTACCTAAAACACTAAAAATTCAAAATAGAAAATGCTGACTGACAAAAATTAATTAATTTCATATTTTTTACAATGATCTATAAAAAGGTAATTTTATGCTTGTTGATTTGAATTCAGTTTTTTAATTATATAAATTTTTGTTACATATTTAAAATAATTTCATGTGTGGTAATTAATGCGAAGTTGGTAGTTTGCAACTGGTCCAAATATAGAATAACTAAAAATAACCAAACTTTTTTTTCGTTATTTTTTTGTTCCATAGATATATCTATCTAACTACTTAGGAACATAAATACTAGCTTTCCACCCGCGATTCATCCGCGTGTATATTCGTTTGCCAATAATATATTACCCTGTTTTAAACGACACACAGCGCCATCTATTGCCGAACTGGTATGAAGCTAACATTTTTTTTTGTTTTCCCTCGCATATATTATTTTTTTACGGGTTCAAAAGTACTCTATTATTTAATTCGAACTTCTGACTTTAAAATTTCAAAGCAATCGAATCAGTAGTGACGGAGTGACAGAATATCGAACAAAAAAACTCGCTTTTCTATTTTTGATGATTCGTAAAAAGTATTAACTAAATTTGAATTAAAGACAAGTATCTACATAACCAATATGGCTTCTTTTCAAGATTCCGGTATTTTTTTTTAATCATTAACTGCGGAAATATTCTTGTAAAGTTTCAGTAGAGAAAAATAATAACCCATAAAAAAATGTAACTAATGTTTTTTTTGTAAATAAATTAAATGTCACCGTTTTCGTAAGTTTCTTTTCATTATTTATTAAAAATACTACTTATTGGCGCGTAAATTGTAAGTTTAATGTCCAACAACACAGTGTTGCCATGAACTTAAATAATTATGATTGAAAATCATAAAATTTAAATTAAACCTGAGTTATATTAAGTATTCAGATAAGGATATTTTATTGGCATTTCATTATTTTTTCTGTTATTATAACCTCACTTTTCGTAAGTATATTACACAATTTAAAGTTTTTATTTTACTTTTAATTATGTATCAGTTGGCGAGTCTCCACCAGCCATTTTTACGTGTATTAATTACCTACATTGTTTCGGCGAGTGCCATAGTTCCCGACATACCAGTCCACAGCAATCCACACCCATAGCCTTATCCCTTGCTTCCATTATCCACAAAAATCCTACAGACTGTCCTCAGGTGCATTTCTTTATAGCGCATACTGTGGTATTGTGGGTGTCTACGGGCGGCGCCCATTGCTTACCATCAGGTAATCCGTCAGCCGAACTTTATCATAAAACAAAAATTATTACACTGCATAGTATCACCTACCTACTTGCGACCAATAAAACCAAGTGACGATTTCACCACAACAAGAATTTGTAATGAAAAGAACAGGTTCTTAGCCATTTTTTGTCCCGAGAGACGATCTTTGGTAACCGCAAGCGCGCACCTCAAAGAAACAATACACCACCACAGACGGGGCCCTATAGGGCTGATGTTCAGCCGGGGTTGCGGGGTAAGCGTAATGAGGCACCGCGGCGTCGGCCTAAAGCAGGAGAAGGAACGGGGGTTTTTAGTCAGTAAGAGTCTGACACTCTCTCTCGCTTGACTCTGGGCGGGAGAAGTCACTGGATGATTTTCCCCTCACAAAAAAGTGCATAGTATACTTATACTTTATTATAAATTCTAAGAGCGAAATTCTAAGTCGGATCTATAGGTAATCATTAGGTATTCTCGTAGATTTAAATTCACTTTTTGTAGTTAGTTATGTAATATAATTACGTGTGTTATGTAATTGATGCAAAGATAATAGTTTTCAACTGGTCCAAATTTAGACTGATTAAAAATAACCTCACTTTTTTGTTTGATTTAACTTTAACTAGGTACTTATTTGTTTAAATATTCGTATTTTTCTAGCTAGCTAGGTAGCTATTTCTCGAACAATTAATTTACAATTATTCATGAAGGAAGAATCCAGTTTTTACTTTATGTTACAATTTGACGAAAAAAAATCGAAGTTACAAAAAAAACGATCCTCCGAAAAATTTATAGTACCTAAGTAAGTAAGTAGGTACCTACGTACACAATTTTTCCGAATTCTGAATTCAAAATGGTCGACAATACGAAAAAAGAATTCAGTTTGAATCAATGTCAAGTAGAAGAACATAGTCAATTTGAGTAGGATAGGTACTACTTTACCGATACCTACTTTAGAAAATTCTAGTGTTTTATCTTTTACTACCTATCTATCTATTACTTAACCACAAAAATTTATTATAAAGAAAACAGGCGAGAATTCAACCACAATGTTGTGTTTCGGGGTGTGAGTTAGGTTACCGGAGCCGGATAGGTCCAACCCTTCCCGAATTTCAAAATTTTCAAATCGTCGGTCGTCGATGTCCATGAGCAGCGTTTGCCGACCTACATATCACATAAAAAACATAACGCAAATATGTGTAGGTACATACCTACATGCATAGAAACGAAAAAATACTACCTACTCGAATTTAGAACGTAATCGTTTTTAACGACGCACAAAGGAGTCCCGTTGTGGCTTGAAACTACATAGTAGAGATTTTTTTTCGTTTTTTTCTTTAAATAAAATTTGTAAGAAATAAATTAAAAATAACAACCATACCATCATATTAATCTGTGTTCAAGAAAAATATCGTTTAAAATTGCTATTTAGGTACTTACTTGTTTTGTTAAATCAAACTTGGACAAAACAGCGGTTGATAAGATTCTGAAGTTCAAGCGGAAGGTCGAACGACGCAGAAATCGTTATCATCATATTTGCCTATTTACATTAAATAAATATATCTGAGTATATAACATATTGTCGCGGGGCAAGCGTAATAAGGTATCTCTAGTACGGGTCTGCGGATGGCCAGCTAGGGAATAGGGAAGCTCGCTGCCCGACCAGAACAAGACCCGAGCGTACGGCGCACACCTCAAAGAGCCAATAGACCACCATAGACGGGCCCCTATAGGGCTGATGTTCAGCCGGGGTGGAGGGGTAAGCGGAATGTGGCACCGCGAACTCACCCCAGAGCAGAAGAAGGAACGTGGGCCTTTTTAGCCAGTAAGAGTCTGACACTCCCTCTCGCCAAACCCCGGGCGGCAGAAATCATTTGATAACGTAGATTACAAAGCAGCTACCTACTGCAGCGTGTTTCACCCGCTGCTCGGCTCATATTGTTCGTAGGGTGATGTTTTATAGCCTATAGCACTCACGAACATTGTAGCTATCTATCAGTGAAAGAATTTTGGAAATCCGACCAGCGGTTCCAAAGATAACCCCCTACTAACAAACTTACAAATTTTGCCTCTTTATTAACCGACTTCCAAAAAAGGAGGAGGTTCTCAATTCGACCGTATATATGCTTTTTTTATGTTTGTTCGCCGATATCTCCGTTATTTATGAACCGATTTTGATAATTCTTTTTAATATTAGTATACCTAGATTAGCTTCGCATTCATATGTTATTATCGACTATAAATCTATCTCTGTGCCAAATTATATTCGGATCTGTTCAGAAGTTTTTACGTAAAAGAGTCACAAACATCCATCCGTGCTTACAAATATGAATTTTGTGTTATTTTGTCTATTAGTTGGAGATATTCTAA